AATTTTATAGTAAAGATCACTATAGTGTTTTGTAACTGAGGGATAGATCAACATTTTGCAATAATCACAGTATGGGATGATTCTGTAGTAATTGATTATCCTTTCGTTTTATATGTGTCATTTATATTCCAGGAACTGAAATGTGCTATTAAAAAATTTCCCATGAAATTTATTACGTTTCTTGGCAAGATAGAGCTTACTTACACTATTAGAAGCATAGTAAATTTGAAAAGAATTTATATGAAAATAAGAATAGAATTTTGTGACCGAGGAATAGATCGACATTTTACGATAATTGATTATCCTTTCATTTTATATGTGCCATTTATATTTCAAGAACTGAAAAGTTTTTCCTCTGTGTACTCGGTGAATTAACCTTTCACGCCAAATTGCCTTTGCATCGCAATTATTAATATTAATTAACACAATTGCTTTCTTCTAATTATTTAGATATCTATTAACTGTGCATTTTTTAATTTTTTTTTCAATATTGATGTAAAAAACTGATTCACCGCGCATGTTGCAAGCCTGAAAAATATTCGCGAGTTCTTACACTGTTATTACGCTGTCAAACGTTATTATCCTCCCATAATTCGAATTATCTGCACTACCATCCGCGACCGAATATTATTGACCGTATATTCGCTTACTTTAGCATAATTTCAAGACGCTCAGGTTGTACAGCATCGAGATGCTCAAGTTGTAGCATTCCATTCATAATTACGAGTATTCGAAGGCATCTGGAGCTCCTTCGAGTTCGCGAAACATTCCTGACGTTAATGCGTCGCATGCGGTCTCGCATTTGCAACCCCGAAATGAAAGCTGGCGTCACGTCACCACCGGGAGAAAGCCGCGACGTCGAAGCCATACGCTCGAAGAAGCACGCGTCCCCGAAATTCCTATGCGAATCTTCCGATACGGCTGTGCATATTTAATAGGGAAGGTCGATACCCGAGCCTGTCTGACGTAATCAACCGTCAGCTCTAAGACCTGCTCGTCGTGGCAACGTGCGCGCGCGATAAAGAACGACGATGCTCACGGCGAATTCACGAAGACGTCATAAATTTACGGCGCCGATCGTACGTCTTCGCGAGCCGACGCCTGACGTCGTTCGGGGTGGTAAGTGCGGGGGCGGCACCGGCTATATCGTTGCTTCTAATTTCCACCGGCGACCTTGGGCAAAGAAATCGTAAATTTTTCACGCCCACTCGCCTCTACCTGGGTGTGGCTCGACGAGAGGAAACAGATGGACGGACGGACGGACGGACGATGGTTCTCTCCCTCGGGAGACAAAAGTTTCTCCCATTTTCGCGTCACTCCGCGCTCTGTGAGGACGCGGCCGATCATTTGTCGCCGGCACTCTTTCGCGTCGTTCGCGAATTTTCGCGCCGGGGTTCTTTCTCACTTTCATCCACGTAGCACTCGAGACATAAGAGCGCTTTCCTTGTACTTGAATTGGGGCGTGTGTCGGTGGGAAATTTTCCCAACGAGAAGAAAATTCGCCGGTATTGCCAAACCGAGAAAGACGTCTCGTGGAAAATTATAGAGTTTCGGGATGTTTTTCTTTCTTTACGAGAGACTACACGGGGTGAATTTTACAGTTAAAATTGTTATAGAATTTTGTAGATTTTGAAGAATAGATTGACATTTTGCAACTTGATTCTTCTCATTTTATGATTGACTCTTCTCATTTTATACATGCTTTATGTATATTAAGGAACTCAAATGTTTTTTACTATTAAGAAATTTGCTACATTTCTAGGGAAACTTGCTATGTTTCTTGGTAATGTGACAAAATATTTTATTTTCTCTCTGTGTACGCGATGAATCAATTTTCAACGTCAAACCGACTCTGTGTCGCAATTATTAATATTAATTAACCTATCTTAATTAACCTATATTAATTACTCAATCTTAATTATGTATTTTTTATTCCTATTGACAGTTCATTCCTGCACACACATACTTGTAAAGAGTAAATATTAAAAATGTTTTAAATATTTTTCAATATTTAGTCCCAGAAATTCACATAAAATAAGTAAATATTTAAAACGAAACAATATATTTCTATTTTGGAGTATAAAAACATTGAATGAAAAAAAAAAAAAATATATATATATATA